GTGCTTCCCTTTTATGGCTGCTACCTTCCCACACCATATGATGCTGCACTAATTAGACTCAGACACGGGACTAAGATTCCTTTAATTCTTATTTAGTTTTGGAGTTATGAGTAAAACTGTTGTGCGATCTTTTCCATTAATTTCACCATTGGGCAGCTAGAGAACCTTACATGAAATTCCTACAGTAAAAATCCACAAGACTGAAAATACCAAACTGAATAACCCTCAAAGCACACATAAAAAAGACAGTGTCAAGTATGATGCGATGCTTTAAAGCAAAAGACAGTGTTTTGAGGGGGCCCTAATGGCATTACCTTTGACCATAATACACATTTTTAATCTAAACATTGAGTGTGTAGTTCAAACAGGCCTCATATGTGTTGGGAACTACCCCAGTCACTGGGATATGGCAGGGAAACAGACAAGCAGCATCCCAGCTTTTACAGAATTTGGATTCTATTAGCAGTTGAAGGACAGTAAGCAAAGACATGAATCAGACATGTTCAGAGGGTAATTAATTCCTTGAAGCAAGTGGAGGAGTAGCACTGTTGAAAAATTGCTCAAGAACAAAACATTGCTCTTTCAAACCTGCTATAAGGATGTGCACTATCATTCCTCTTAGTCAACAAAGTTCTGAAAGCATTAGCCAGAGGAATTAGAGAAAGGAAAGAAATAAAAGGAATAAGGACATAAAGGAAGATCTGAATTTATCATTATTTCAAAATGACATCATACTGTACATAGAACATTCACAAAATTCCACTAACAAACTCCTAGCCTTCGTAAGCAAATTCAGTAGCATAGCTGGATACAAAATCAACACTCAGCACTCAATAGCATTCCTGTACACAAATAACAAACTCCCTGAGTGAGAATTTAGGGAAAGCACACCCTTCATAGTAGCATCCCAGGAATGCAACACTTAAGAATCACTTTGACAAAGGAAAGAAAAGACATTTACATTGAGAAATATGGTACTCTGAAAACAGAGACTAAAGAGGTGTAAGAAGGTGGAAAGATATCCCTCGTTCTCGAGTACGAAGACCCAATAGAGTGACCATTACCATACTCCCAAAATTGTTACGAAGATTCAAAGCAATGCCAGCTACACTGCCAATTGTATAACTCATAGAATTAAAGAAAACAATTCTCAAATTCATTTGGTATCATAAGAGACCTAAAATAGTCTAAGAAATTCTAGGCAATAAAGGAAAGGCAGGAGGCATCGCAATCATGGACTTGAAAGTATGCTACAAAGCTACTGTGATAAAAACAGCATGGTACTACCAAAGAAAGCTAGAAAGAAAGAAAGGAAGGAAGAACAGAGTGGAGGATCTGTGGATTAGAACAAAAGATCCAGAAACAACTTTAAACACAGTGAGCCAGCTTATGTTTGACAAAGGAGCCAAAGACCTTCACTGGAAGAAAGATAGCCTCTTCAATAAATGGTGCTTTTAAAACTGGTCTTCCATGTGCCAAACACTAAAATGAGATCCATATCTCTCACTATGTTGTAAGCTAAAATAGAAAGAGATCAATGACCTAAATGTTAAAACAGAAACATTAAATTTACTAGAAGGTAGAATAAGTAGACTCTTGAAGAGATTGGTATAGGGGAAGACTGTATAAAGAAACCTCCAGCTGCAGCAGGAAAATATTACGAAGAATGAACAACTGAGTTCTCTTCTTATTGAAAAGCTTGTACACAGAAAAAAGAAATCACCAATGCAATGAACTGATAACCTAGTTGGGGAATTTTTTTTTGCCAGCTATTCCTCAGACAAATGCCTAATATCAATATTTAAAGAACTCAAAAACTTTAGATTGCACTCAAATTTAAACACTCAGTCCAAAAATGGGCATTTGAAATGAATAGACACTTCTCAGATGAAGAAGTAGAAATGGCAAAGAAATATATGAGAAAATGGCAACTTCACAGGCCATTTGAGAGATGCAAATTAAAAGAGCACTGAGACTCCATCTCCCTGCTGAAAGAATGTCTATTATCAAGAAATGAACCAGTAACAAATGCTAGCAGGGCCATGGTGACAAAGGAACCTTTCTTCAGTGTTGGTGGGAGTGCAGACTGGCACAACTGGATTGGGTCTTTAAATTTGGGGCAATGTAAAGTTTTTGAGTTATTTAAATATTCTTGATATTAGGCATTTGTTTGAGGAAAAGCTAGCAAAAGAAAAAATTTCCCCGTCTGGGTTATCACTTCATTGCGTTGGTGATTTCTTTTTCTGTGCACAAGCTCTTCCATAAGATGAGAACTCAGTTGATAATTCCTTGTAATATTTTCCTGTTGCAGCTGGAGTTTTCTTCATACAGTCTTCACCTGCACCAATGTCTTCAAGAGTTCCACTTATTCTTTCTTCTAGTAAATTTAGTGTTTTTGTTTTAATATTTAGGTCTTTGATCCATTTCTATTTCAGCTTACAGCAAAGTGAGAGACATGGGTCTCACTTTAGTGCTTGACACATGGAAGACCAGTTTTTATACCACCACTCATTGAAGAGGCTATCTTTCTTCCAGTGAAGGTCTTTGGCTCCTTTGTCAAACATAAACGGGCTAAGTGTGTTTGGATTTGTTGCTGGGTCTTCTGTTCCACTGATCCTTCCGTCCATTCTTTCTTTCATTGTTTCTTTCATTCTTTCTTCCTTCCTTCCTTTCTTTCTTTATTTCTTTGTTCTGTCTCTTTCTCTTTCTCTTTCTTTCCACTTTTCTTTCTTTCTTCCTTCCTCTCTTTCTCTCTTTCTTTTTGACATTACCACACTGTTTTTATTGCAGTAGTTTGTAGGATATTTTCAGGTCAGTGTTTGTGATGCCCCCTGCCTTGCCTTTATTGCCCAGGATTCCTTAGGTTGTTTTAGATCTCCTCTGGTTCCAAATGAACTAGAGAATTGCTTTCTCTAATTCTACGAGATATGCTATTGGCATTTTAATTGGGATTGCATTAAACCTGCATAAAAATTCTGGGAGTATGCCCATTGTCTCTCCATTGGCTCTTCCTTCACAAGAACCAGTATCTTTCCACTTCTCTATTGCCTTTTTGATTTTGTTTTCAGAGTACTATAGTTTTCCATGTAAATGTCTTTATTTCCTTTGTCCAATTGATTCTTAAGTATTGCATTTTTTGGATGCTGTTGTGAAGGATGCGTTTTCCCTAAATTCTCACTCAGTGAGTTTGTTACTTGTGTACGGGAATGCTACTGAGTGTTGAGTGTTGACTTTGTATCCAGCCGTGCTACTGAATTTGCTTATTAAATCTTGGAGTTTCGTTGGTGGATTTTCTGGGATGTTCTATGCATAATATGATGTCATTTTGAAATAATGATAATGTTAGTTCTTCCATTCTTGTCCTTATTCATTTTAGTTCTTTCCTTTCTCTAATTACTCTCGCTAATGCTTTCAGGATTACATTGAATAAGAGGGGTGAGGGTGGGCATCTGTGTAGTAGGTCTGGAAAAGCAACATTTAGTTCGCATGTAATTTGACAGCAGTGCTACTCCTCCATTGTCTTCAAGGAACTATTTAGTCTCTGAACATGTCTGGTTCTTCTATTCCTTTACGTCACTTAAGTGTGCACAAATTCAAATTCTATAAAAGCTTGGATGCTGCTTGTCTATTTCTCTGCCATATCCCCAGTGAATGGGGGACTTTCCAGCAAATACGAGGACTGTATGAACTACACAGTGAATGTTTAAATTGAAAGTTCATATTATCATAAAAGATAATGCCATTAGGGACCCTCAAAACACAGTCTTTTGCATCAAAACATCCCACCATTCTCAACACTTTCTTTTTCTGTGTGCTTTGAAGAGAATTCAGTTTGGTATATTCAGTTTTGTGGATTTTTACTGCAGTAACTTCATGTAAGGTTCTCTAGCTGAACAATGGTGAAATTAATGGAAAAGATCACATAACAGTTTTCCTCAAACTCACAAACTAAATAAGAATTAGAGGAATCTTAGTCCTATGCCTGAGTCTACTTAGTGCAGGATCACATGGTGTGGGAAAGCAGCAGCTGTAAAGGGGAAGCACTGAAGTGATAAAAGCTCTGTTTACAAAATTGCATAGAAAATAAAAAATTTTCAATAATCAGGAAACTAGTGGAGCTCAGGTCGACACATCCAAGGCAGTAGAGGGAAGGGTGAGTGTGGAGAATAGATTAATGTTTGGCTGTGGACATTGGCCAGGTGGAGCTGGCGGGTGGAATCTGAAGGCACAGAAGTATGGAGGGGGCTGCTGAGCCTCTGGTCCCTGTCACCCGTCCAAGGGGACCCAGATGGTGAGGGGGCTCTGTGAAGAGGTCATCAAAGCTCTGTGACCCAAGCCCAAGGCCCACCCCCTGATCTGCCAGGGAACTCCCAGGGCTCAGTTGCCTGAGGGCGACAGTGCACTTCAGATGGAGAAGCTTCTCTCTCTTCTGAAGAGCATTAGTGCCACATGGCTGAACTTCGGCTCCACCACGTGGGCGATGGAAGTGATCCTCGCTTTCGCATGTGGACGGGGATTTCTCCTCCTATTACTGCCCTTCCTCCCGGATAATCCATCAATACCACCACCACCAACTCTGAAAAAGAAGAAAGGTTCCAGAAAGGTGAGAGATCCTCAGGCCAGGCCCGAGAAGGAATACTCTGTCTCTCTCTTTTCCTCTTCTTGAGACTGCTTTTCCAATCAGAGAAACTTGACATGGGGTATCTCAGGCAACATTACAACACCATTCTTCTCCTTTGTTACTTTTTACTTTATTGAAGCACAGATGTTTTTCTTTTTCTTTTTTTTTTTTTTTTGTTTTGGAAATGGCACACTGTGACATCTCACAGTATATTGGATTCTCAAGGGAGTTGGGGACGTCTACAGTAAGACAGGTCCAGGACAATGGTTCTTAGGACCCCTTTTTGTGGTAAGTTCCTCTGGCCATGCCTGTCTTGTGTGTGGGGCTGATCCACAGGCAGTGTTGAGCCCTGGAGAGTCTCCTGCAGAGCCTAGGATCAGCTGTGTCCTCAGGAAGCAGAATGCACTGTGCAGGTGAATGAGCCTGTGGATGCCTCTGCCTGCTGAGACTCTGTGCTGTGGAGAGCCGTGCACGGCAGAGCTTGCTCAGAAAATCTCCATTTTCCAAAGAGGGAAAGCAGCAGCCACTTAAAAAATGAACATTGCTGTCTACATTAGAAAGTTCCACTCTCCAAGGACACCAGAAGCACTGTCTGGGAAGAAGAGGGAGAGAATTGAACCACAGCCTGCGTCTTTCCTGCCCCTCAGTACCACATGGTTAGGAAGGACTGGAGCAAGATCAGGAAGAGGAGCTGCGCTCTGAGAAGTGAGGCTTGGTTCTCCCGCCCTAGAGGTGACTTCACCTTGCTGGTGCTTGAGTGGTTAGAGCCTCCCTCTCTGAGGATGTCAGGAGGGAGGCCTGAGAGGGGGTTGCTGGAGGGGAAAGCAGAGCCGGGACATGTCTCAGGCTCTGTGCTCAGCACAAAGCTGTGAGAGGCAGGGGCTCGGAGATGCGCAGCAGAGGCGGAGTGGAGTTCTAGGCCAGTGCTGCTGGATGACGTGGTGGGACCTCCAGGGGCAGCTGTGACAACAGCCTCACGTGGCGGTAGCACATCCCTCTTGGAGATGATCTGCCCCTTCTCCTCCACAGGAAGTTTATCAAGAACATGGAGGTTGATGGGGATGGGGGCACCTAGGCAAGGATAAAGTGCTGCCTCTGTGTGACTTGGTGTCCTCGTCACTGCTTCCACAGCTTTGGAAATGCACGGGCAGCACGATTGAGTTTCTCAGTTTTCCCAAGGAGACATTTCCTTCCAGGGCTTGTGGATCCCAGACGTCTCTCTTCTCACTGTAACCCTTCCTGGCCCCGTTTTCAGCTCCTAGAGATGGTGGGGAAGAAGGAGCGGGGACTGATGACCTGGCTTCACTCCTGCGTAGGTGAGAAACTTTCCCCTTCTCTCTGTGCCTGCCTCCTGCCAGGGGTATGATGGGAGCTGAGGAACCTTGGCTGAAAACGGGAGGGCCCCCGCAGGCTGGAGTGGGTGTGACCAAGGTTGTGGGTGGGAGGGCGTTGTACAACCAGAGTCTTGTCACTAGAGGGCGCAAGGACTGCAGCTGTCCAGTCCCCATCTGCTCAGATATACCTTGTGCCTTTTCTCTTCTTTAGCCACCCTGGGAATCTCCTGCTACCTAGCAGATTTTACCAGTTCTTAAGGGATGACCCTGATGAGACATGCCAACCTGTATCTCCTAGAGCTGACAGACCAAGGAGGCAGCCTTCAGAGGATGGTTTTGTCACCACCTCATCCGCATCGGTTTCCCAGGCTCCTTCCACTGAGCCCCTGCGACCTCCAACCTCTGTCTTGCGTCCAGGTCTGCAGATCTTCCCAGTTTCTCCTGGGTCACAGTCACCCCCGAGGGCCTCTTCACCACCA